GCTCCAAAGAGAGGGCCTGGGTATTTAATTTTTGCTGCAGGATCCCACCCGCCAAATGCTTCTTCCCCAGTCCTTCTCCACTGTACAGGGTTTAGACTTCTTTCCCGGTCTCAGGTAGAGGGCCTGGCCCCAGGCGAAAGCCTCCCCAAATTTCCCCTGCCACTCCCTCCGCCTCCCAGACCTCTGGGGCCATGAATCATTTATGAGGCAAAAATGAAACCAATTAAGGACAAACTTTGAAAGCCTCTAATTGCCGCGCCTGGTGGCATGGAGGAGTGAGGGGCGGCAGTTCTGCTCGCTGTGGAATCTCCTTGGCCCCAGCCTTGCCTTTCCAGGCCGTCTCCGGGCGCCACCACCTCCTGGCCGCTCACGGACGTGCCTGCGCTGCTCTGGGCAGCCGCCTGGCGCCCGCCCCGTCCTCCCAGGCCGACTAATTAGGCCCGGCTCCCTCCTGCGCTGCCCGCTCCAGGCCCGAGGTGATGGCGGCTCAGCCTGCCCTTCTGGGGCATGTGCCCCAAAGCTGGCCGCCTTTCCCAGGCTGAATGGCTGCCCGCCTGGCTTAACCCAAGCAAGCCCAGGGTGCACTGTGTTGTGGAGCCTGGGGTCCACACTGCAAACCAGAGGGGCTGGGAAGAAATTGATGAAGGGCAAGCTGGGGACAGGAGAGTGGCTGGCAGTTGAGCTTGTGGGGTATTGCGTTGGTGAGTAGGGCTACCCAGTGCCTGTCAACACTGCCAGGACTGACAGCAGTGACCCTGTACAAGATCTTGGGTTTGGGGAAGCAGGCAGGTGGAGGGTCAGAGTCTGGATCCAGCAGGACCTGCCTCCCTGCAGTGAACCAGAAGTGCCAGTCTTAAGTCCTGCTAGCTGTGCTGGGGGCCATGCAGGCCCTGGGCACTCAGGCACACTGTTTGCTGAAACAGAATTTCCGTGCTTGTGTTTTTCCATAATTATATTAGCAGGTGGGATTTTTCCTCGGGGAAGCACTTTGAGGGGGAGCGCTGTGGCTGTGTCCCCGCCTGCTCCAAGCGTGAGCTCACACTCAGCTCAGCCCGCCTGCCTGCCGTAATGATTTTTTAATTATGCAGCCAGTGCTCGGAATTGCTAATCCACCTCTAGCCCAGCGTCCCCTGCTGCAGCTTACACCCCAGCCCCTTGCTGCCAACCCCCGAAGGGCAGTGCCCAGCTCTATACCCATCACTGCATGCTGAGGGACACACCGGCTCCAGTGGGGGAAGAGTACCCAGAAAGAGGCATGGGGTGCCTTTCCCCCCCTCTGCAAGAGACGGGCTTGGGGATGCCGCTCTCTTTGTCTCCCACCCCAGCCCTGGTCCCAACCTTGCTTGTGTTGGCCAGGACAGCTGTGTCTCTGGAAAAGGGTAGGGTGTGATCAGTACCCATCCCTCCTGTCTTGTGTGACCCCAAGGACATACGCGTCCAAGCACTGTCTTTGTCCCTGTCACACCTACGAGTCATCCTCTGCTTCACGTCCACACACACTCAGACACACACACAGCTAAGCTGCAGCAGTGACACGTTCCGTGCTGCTCACACTCAGCCACACCTGAGGGCTAGGGTCTCCCCCAGTCACCCAAGGCTCTCTCCTTTCTGCCCGTGGTTGGCCTGTAAGAGCCTCGATCGACCCTGGCCTGGGGGAGTTGGGGGGCAGACTACAGCACAGTGGCCGCGGGTGGCTGCGGCTCCTCTCCAGGCGCCCAGCTGTGGCATCTGTCAAGGTCAGATAGCAACTCCGGAACCAGCCAGCTTGGCCCCACGGCCCCTCTCGCCTCATTATTTTTGTGTTCCGGGGTTGCAACGACACCTCCCTCCTTCCCTCCCCCCCCCTCAGTCTCCTGCCTCTTGCCTTCCTCCCCCACGCCTCTGCAGGGAGGGCCTGCGGTCTCCGGGCTTTTGTTTTCCAGTTTTTACCAAGCTCAGGCCAGGCAGGCGGGCAGGTGGCTAGAAGCTGACCAGAGCTGTTGGACCTTGAACGGCAGACAGGTGCCTCCCTCATGGCTGAGCGTTTCGGCCAAAACAGTGAATTAGTTTCTCAGAGGGACAAACTGAACCTGGGTGCCACCCAGCCCCCACCCACCCCAGGCACACCTGTGGGTAGCTTCCTGTTTCCATAGGGGCCCTAGCAGCCGGCACCAGTTCCCATCTGCACCAGCCTGGCACGCTTAGGCCCCGCCAAGGCTCACAGCACACACACTGCCCTCTCAGCAGCTAAGACAGACCTGAAGACCCTGCAGACAGGCAGCCACCATAGTTAATACTCTACTTGCACACAACGCTGGTGGCTGTGTGTTCGGAGGTGTGGAACACTCACCCCGCCGCCTTGCGCACTAGGAGCTTAGGGTCCAGGTACCCCCACCTTTGTTGGTGTATAACCATGTGCACAGTAGCGCTCCAGTTCACAAGGGTTGGCCCTTGGATTTCATCTGCGCCTGGGCACACCCACAGCCCTCCAGACACAGGCTCACAGCATAAATGTCTGACATGCTTCCCCTGGTGACACATAGCCCCCTCCTCAGGATACACACTCTGTGTCACACTCCCTTCCTCCCAGGTTTCTTAATTATCTACCCAAGGGGCTTTGGTCCCCTGAAACGTTAGGAAGAGGCCTCTGCTCGGTGTGTCCTGTATGTCCAGAGCTGGGAAAGGGTGGTTTGGCAGATGCACTGCCCCACCCTCCTGGCCCGAGAGCACCCTGGTGCAGTAGGGTGGGGGGCTTCCAGCAGGACAGGTGGGGAATATGCCCACTTAGGTGCCGGCCTCTAGTTTAGGGTCTGTAAATATGGGGGTCTGGGGGTGTGAGTGGGATGTGGGCCTGGTCCAGATCCCCTAGAGTCTATGGGGCAGCCACAGCCATCCATCCGCTCACTTCCTCCTCCAGCTGTGAACTGCTGTGGTTGTCCCTGGGAGGGGGAGAAGCTGGAGGCTTAGCGGTTGCTGGACACCCCCCACCACCCCCCAGGAAACTCAAAACCCTGGGCCAGCCGGGTGCGGGTTGGGGCCGGCACAAAGAAGGCCTCTGTGCAGCCTGACTGGGCTGCCCACAGGATTCTGGGGGAGGCAGCAAAAGCCGGTTTCCGTCCCCGTTCTGCTTCCTGCGGAGGCTGCCGGAATGCCCGGAGCTCTTGCCCAGCCAGGCCCGTCCGGCCCACCCGTAGCCCCTTACCTTGACTTTGCCTGGGCTTGGGGTCTAGCTGGAGCTGTATTGGCAGTGGTGCTTGGTGTGAGATGCCTAGAGCCCCAAGGCCTCCATGTACCTTGAAGCCCCTGGCCGGTATTGGTAAGCCAAGCCTGGAGACACAGGTTCAAACCCTGACTCTGCCATCTACTGACCTTGTAACCCTAGGCAGGTATTTCACACCAGCTAAACGGGTGTAGTGAGAACCTAATAATAAACTACAGAGGCTGGGTGTGGTGGCGCACGCCTATTACCCCAGTATTGGGAAGCAGAAGCAGGCAGGTCTCTAGAGCTAGAGGAGAGACCTGTCTCAAAACAGCAACAACATAAAGTACAGGAAAATGCTTAACACAGTGCCTTAGGCCACCAGAGCTGAAGGAGACTTGTTTAGCTTCTTGTCTGCAGTAACCCAAATTCCCTCTGTGGCTTCCTCAGAGCCTTTCCCGCCTTCAAATCCTGTCACCAGCTCTGGCCTCCTGTCGACCTCTAGGTCACTAACCCTCTGTGGGTAGCTGATGGGGAGCCAACTCTCCAGACCTCTTGTGTATCTGTCCTCTTCCCATTCAAGCCCAGGAGCATTGAGAGTGAGATCACGAACCTTCTCCGGGGCTGGAGAGGTGGCTCAGTGGTTAAGAGCACTGGCTGCTTTTGCAGAGGACCCAGGATTGGGTCCTGGCACCTGCGTAGCGGCTCACCACTTCCTGTAACTCCTGTTCCTGGCACCATCTTCTTGGTCAGCAGAGGTGCACACAGCGCATATGCTCATGTCGGGACTCATACATACATACTAAATAGAATAAGTTTCTATTCTACAGATAGGAAATGGATGCTCTATGTAGGGAAGGGGCTAGTTCAAAGTCCGTGGGAAGGAAGGCCAGATCAGAGCCACAGCTCAGACCTTAGGACTCCAGTGCACACCTTTGGCTTTCTCTGCCTGTCCTGTGCTGAGACTCATCAGAGTACAGGAGCTAAGCAGGCATGTGGGCTAAGGTCTCAGGTGGGTGTCTGCAGGCATTACTCTGTGAAACATTTAGTTCAAGATTCAAAGACACCCCAGGGGAGAGTGTCATTTTGTCCACCCTAGCCCGCTGACCATTTGCCTTCCCTCGGTAGGGCAATACACGGAGTGTCTATGAGGAGTGTAGGCGCTGAAGCATGCAGAAGAAAGACAAGCCCATATTAGCTCTGATCCGTGGGGTCCCATATGACACGTCATGTGCTGAAGTCACAAAATGAGGAAGGGCATTCCTGGGCCTTTGCTGCCTTTGGGGTAGGAACCCAGGGGGAGGTTCTGGGAGAGGAAGTCTGCGTTTCGCTGCCTAGAGCCAGGTCAAAGCACACCTCTGGCCAGGGCCTCTGTGCCATTCCAAGAAGGTCCTCCTCGCAGCCGGGCGATGGTGGCGCATGCCTTTAATCCCAGCACTCGGGAGCCTGGTCTACAAGAGCTAGTTCCAGGACAGGCTCCTAAAGCTACAGAGGAAACCCTGTCTCGAAAAACCAAAAAAAAAGTAAGAAAGGTCCTCGGAGGTAGTCTAGGGAATTCTATAGGGAAGAACAGGCCGTGTTGCTTTGTTCAGAGCTTTGTTTATCTGAAGCTGAATGTTTGAGTCACAGGTCTGACTGCCACAGTCCCAGAGGGAGGGGCAGGTCTCACTTCATAACCTTGGCTGCCATACAGCTCTGTGTAGACCAGGCTGGCCCCAAATTCATAGATCCACCTGCCTCTGTCTCAAGTGCTGATTACAGGTGTGTGCCATCAAACCCTGCTTCCTTTTTTGTTTTGCATTTGTATGTGTGTGTGTGTGTGTTGTTTTGTTTTGTACTGTCTTGGAATGTTAAGTCTTACTGAAAATCCCCTAGTGGTGTCAAGGGTGTATCTCACCCCAGCCAATTTCTAGGTCCCTGAGTGGTTACAATGGCCATACAGGTCTGTCCCTCCATCCTGGGTGTATGTCCTGACGACCTCAGGCTGTAGCTGCGCTTCCTGCCTCCAAGATCAGCACACCTGTGTCTCTTGGGCCCAAGAGGGCTCCCAACCTCTGTAAACTTCCCAGACTGAATTATGAAGCTCAGAGACAGAACCCCCCTCAGCATGAGTGGGGCAGCTCAGTTCAGTCCCTGGAACCTGTGGTCTGGGCTCCCTACCAACATGTCTGTCTGTCTGTCTGTCCTTATACTATTCTTCAGCACTGCTCTCCTCTATACCCCAGGTAGGTAGAAGTAGTAAGCCAGTCTGTGTGCTCTGCAGAGCTAGTCCCACCAAGCCATGCCGAACTGTGCTTAGCTAGAGCCCTGGGGTTAGTGCAGGAGGCCCAACACCCTGGGAAACCTGCCCTCGGGCAGGATGGTACTTGGATCGGTCTAAAAAAATCATCGAACCAGTAACAGGAATGGTGGCTAACACTTGTAACCCCAGCACCCAGGAGGCCGGGGTTGTCGGAGACTTCTCCCTGGAAGAGACATGAATTATACTGTAAGGTCCTGTCCCTGATCTCAAGGCTCTCTCTGTCCAGCTGGGACCTTGCAAAAACTCAGCCATACCTGGCACCTGCTTCCACCCAGCTCTTCCTAAGGCTTTCAGCTGTGTGTCCTCTGGTAGCTTCTCCCTATCCTTCGCTATTTCCTTGGCAGCCTCTTCCTCCGAGCAGGCCCTCCAGCCTCACTCAGTCTCCTTCCAGGTCCCCTGTGCTCCCGGTCTGTGACCTCCTTGCCCCTTCCTCCACAGTAGCAGTGCATGGAGCCACTACTGGCATAAGCGGGGAAGGGGGTACTACTAAACATGCACAAGATCTAGCTGCAGGCCTCCTAGGAACACAGCATCAGCCCCTCCCAAGATGGAAACTCCTCCCCCATGCAGTCAGTCCCTTCTGGGGCCGAGGGTGGGGTGAGGCCACTGCCACTACCTCCGGTGACCTCATTGCCAGCTGGCATTATGATGTCACTGGCCTAGCATTCTGAGTTGAGTTCCCGCATGTGTATCTCTAAGCCTCCAGGTGGGGCACTCCCCTGGGGGCCGGTGACAGCTCACCCCTGACCACGAAGAGGTGACAGGCATGGTAACAATTTGGTGGGAGGGCAGGAGTATAACTGAGCTGCTTTGCCTTGGGCTGTTCTGTTATTGCCCAAATAGAACAAAGGCGGTCAGAGAGCAGGTGACCAGCACTTAGCTCTGGGTTCAAGTTCTACCACTGCAAGGCACTAGCTGTTGACATCAAGCCAGCAGCCTGAACTTTTGTGAACCTTGTTCTCTTCTTTTCTGAAGCTGGTTGAAGTTCCTGTCTCATGGTTACTATCCTAACATGAAGCACACACACCGCAGCACAGAAGTTGCTCAATAAGTGTGAGCAGCTAGCGAGGGGTTCGTAGTTAAACTCTAGTTGGGTTTGAAGAGAGCAAGGTCTGCCTGCAGAGGGTAGAGACAGGAGTAACCCCTGCGCTAGCAGATGCTCTCATCTCTGACTTCCCTTCCAACAGCCAAGGTCTCAACCTCCATGGCCTGCTGTGACCGCAGGCCCTCCTTCCATCTCTTCTTCCTGAGCTCAGGTTAGACACGGCCTCATCAGGTGTCCCCGATTCTCACTCTTGGGCTCCTCCCTCTATGATGGGCTCTGTCATTCCCATCCCTGATCCCCTAATAAAACCCTCTGACCTCCAATCACGACTCTGCTGCATCCCACCAGGTCTCTGACCCATTCCCGAGTTCTATTGTCAGCGTTCTCTGACCTTAACCACCTGTCTCCCTCTCAGGCCCAGCTCTCGGGACTGGTTCCTTCGCCCCTAGGCCCTATCCCCACCCGTCAGCCCCTGGTCCCAGCTCCAGGCCGCCGGGCTCCTGCCTGGACAAAGGGGTCCTTTGTGGGCTGACCGCGGCTGGCGGGGCGGCGGGGCGCTGGCTCCGCATTGCTGATGAAACGGAGCCCTTTGTTGTCCCCTCCTCAGGCGCAGTATTTCTTTTTGGGGGCTGGATGCGTTCCTGGCAGGGCGGATGATGGATGCGCCCGCCGCTGCCGCCTGCCTGCCCGCCAGCTTTCCCTCCCGCTCATTCCCGCTCCGCTTCAACGCAACCCCAGCTCTCTTCCCCTGCTGCCTGGGTATTGCCAGGCCCTTCCTGGCCTGGGAGGGGTTGCTATGTGCCCTGCTGTAAAAGGCAGGGGCCTAGGAAAATGTCCCTTCTGTTTTCTCCTCCTGTGAGTAGGTTATATGGGGGCCTGTAGTCTCAGGGGTCCATAGGGACCAGGGAGGACATCAGCCTTTCCCTAGGTCTGAAGGGGATAACACAGCCACAAAGGCAGGTTTAGAAGAAGCTTGGGGACTAGGCCTAAGCCACGAAGACTAGTTTTGCATATCTGCTGTCTGAGGGCTGTCGCCCCTGTGGCCAGGCCCTGTCCGTATCCTCCCTCCCCCACCTTCAGTTTCCAGGGTTGACAGACCACAGTGTTCTGCCTGCAGCACCTGTTCGGTGACATATCACGTTTTCTGTCCCAGGCTCAGTATGCCTTAGGACCTGGGGGACTGAGAGCAGGTGGTCCCTGGGAGAACCGAAGTGAGAGATGAGGAAAATTCTAGGAGGGGACCAGAGATGAACGGAACACAAGGCCTGTTCGCAACATACAAAGACTGGGGATGGGGACAAAAGCAGGAGCTCAGCCTGAGCAAGTAAGCACCAGCCCTGAACCATGCTGCTTGCTGTGTTGAAGGGAGCTGACTTCTAATTGACCTGCCGGCCCTGCACGCAGTGCCAGCTCCTGGAGCTGGTGGAGGGAAGGAGGGAGGGAGAGCTTGAGCAAGCAAGAGCAGCGTTAATGCGACTATCGATTTCTGCCACTGGCCAGCGGGCCTTAGAGGCGGGGGACACACGGGCTTTTCTCCTGTCGCTCTAGCCCATAGACCTTCTTCCCTGTCTCTGTAGTTGAGCTGCTGGGTTATGGCCCTGGGCAAGGAAGTTGAGTTCAGTGAGCAAGAGCTAGAAGAGGTGGCTTGGTGCTTTCTGACTCTTGTCCGTCAGCACGCCCGTCCCTCTGCACACCCAAGGTCACTGGTCTCTAAGAAAGAAGACCTGGAAAGGTGATTTAGGCTGACCCATTGGAGGTGAGATAGCACAAAATCCTCAGAATGGTCCCCTTACGGCCCTGACCTCTGACCATGCCTTCCTGGGATTGTCTGGGTGGATTCAGCTCCATGGAGATCTGAGGAGGACGTGCTTATAGAGTGAGGCTTCAGTTGCCTCCCCTGGAGCACTGCAGTTGGGTGCACTGACCACTCCTTGTGGCTACTTGTTGGCAGCCCTGGAGCAGAGGGCCCTACAGGTTACAGGTTTACCCCTTCGTAAATGCAAAGGGTCGGACTACATGACCTGGTCCAGGCTGAGTATCCAGGGCAGCCTGGTGGGTGTGATGGGGTTGTCCGGGGACAAAGATCTGATGTGTTCCCAACTCTCAAGCCCAGAGCAGGGTGGGGTTTGCCAGATGTTCCACTGCCCCTTGAGCCACCAGCTGCTCAGGGGCTGGGCCTGATGCTCTCACTCCTCCACTTGGGATGCAGGACTGAAGGGGGCTACAGGGAAGGGATACCAGAGAGCCAGGATGCAGGAGGAAATCGCCACCCTGCTCCATCTGGACCTGTGACAGGGGCACTGGCCACTTGCATGCCCTGCTTAAGGCTGGGGTTCAAAAGCCCCCTGTCCTGGGAAAGGCCCTGGGCCTCAGAACTGTGGAGACAGCCAGAGGAAGGCTCTCACTTGCCTCCACCTTCTCCATCCCAGCCCTCTGGGTTTTCACTGCACCCCTGGAAGCCAGGCCAGGGCACAGCAGGGGCTGAGGTGATGGCTATGGTTTGGGAACAGAGAAGGGAGTGTGTGGAATTTATGCATGTCTTCCCACTCTTGCAAGAGGGGCACTTCAGGCTCTGTGCTTCTCCCTTGCTTTGTAGAAGGGTGGATGTTCCTTCAGACAAGGGTGCTGTACTCTCTCAGACTTTGGATTAAACAGAGGAGCCTGGATCCTTTACCTGCAATCTCCAAACAAGCATTCCGGTGTTGTGGTCAATATCTTTCCTTCTCTCTTTAGATGGGTGGGGACCAAAGAGTGTGGAGGTCATTAATCCTCCAGAGTTAGTTAGCCTCTCTAGATCTCCTACCCTAAGGCCATCAGCCACTTTCCTTCACTCTTAGGTCTAGATCTACACAGGGCCTCAACCTCCCTGTGCCTCTCAGTGGCCATGTGTCTATGGGCTAGTAGCTCTCATAAGCCTTGTTCTCCCTGACTGGGAAATAGAGGATTACCCTACCACTTTGTAGAGTTCTGCTGAATCTTAAGATAGCCCAAATAAATTCTTCACCAAGATCGGCTTGGCACTTAATGCCTTATCGGGCTTCTGGTTGTTACCATGGCAATATGGGTAGTGGTCCTGAAGGAAGAGGATTTACTGACCTTGTCCCCACCTTTCCCAACAGAGTACAGACGTTCCCACGCGGACACCTGACCATGTGCCTGCCCTGAGTGAGCCCCACCAGACGTCTCGATTGTGGGCAACAGGGCTACACACTCATCTGTGAGCCCCCAGCAGTTTGCAGGCTCTCCCAGCAGTGGGGTCTGGGCCTCGGCCCCACCATGTCGAGCCTCGGCGGTGGCTCCCAGGACACCGGTGGCAGTAGCAGTAGCAGCGGCAACAGCAGCACCAATGGCAGCAGTGGCAGTGGCCCAAAGGCAGGAGGAACAGACAAAAGTACCGCAGTGGCTGGGACCGCACCAACCTCAGTGGCAGATGATGCCCCGCCCCCTGAGCGCCGGAACAAGAGTGGCATCATCAGCGAACCCCTCAACAAGAGCCTGCGTCGGTCCCGCCCACTCTCCCACTACTCTTCCTTTGGTAGCAGTGGTGGCAGCGGAAGCATGATAGGGGGGGAGTCTGCTGACAAGGCAGCCGCAGCTGCAGCCGCAGCCTCCCTATTGGCCAATGGTCATGACCTGGCTGCGGCCATGGCCATGGACAAAAGCAACCCTACCTCAAAGCACAAAAGCGGTGCTGTGGCCAGCCTGCTGAGCAAGGCGGAGCGGGCCACGGAGCTGGCAGCCGAGGGACAGCTGACGCTGCAGCAGTTCGCACAGTCCACGGAGATGCTAAAGCGCGTGGTGCAGGAACACCTGCCCCTGATGAGCGAGGCGGGTGCTGGCCTGCCTGACATGGAGGCTGTGGCTGGTGCCGAGGCCCTCAACGGCCAGTCCGACTTCCCCTATCTGGGCGCGTTCCCCATCAACCCAGGCCTCTTCATCATGACCCCAGCTGGTGTGTTCCTGGCTGAGAGTGCTCTGCACATGGCCGGCCTGGCCGAGTACCCCATGCAGGGAGAGCTGGCTTCCGCCATCAGCTCAGGCAAGAAGAAGCGGAAACGCTGCGGCATGTGTGCGCCCTGCCGGCGGCGCATCAACTGCGAGCAATGCAGCAGTTGTAGGAACCGAAAGACTGGCCATCAGATTTGCAAATTCAGAAAGTGTGAGGAACTCAAAAAGAAGCCTTCCGCTGCTTTGGAGGTAACAGCACCGTAGAGGGAGGTGTGCGGGCTCTCCCATTTGTCTGGCAGTCCAAACCTACCCCCGAGTCCTGGAGCCCACCTTTCCTGCCTCCAAGTGTGGGGCATACCCAGCCAGTCCTAGGGCCTGAAGGTCTGGCTGCAAGGTACCTGTTCACTGCCCTAAAAAGCAGAGCCACATCCTGAGATGCCAGCAAGGCATGGTTTGCAGGTAGGGGCTTGGCATTCCCAGTTAGGCCCTGGTTCTCTGGTGCCCCCTCCTAGGGCCTGGGTCAGGTATTTCCACATAGGTACCAAGTTTCTATCTCATAGACATGTTCTAAAGCATTAACCCAAGGCTCTGGTTGTGTGTTAGCCCCATCCGAAAGGTTCTGTCTGTGGACCCTGTGGCCTTGAGAGTGAGCCCTATGACTTGCCTCCCAGAGTCCTGTCCCTCCCCCAACACACACAGTGCACACGCAAAATAGAACAGCTTCAGTGCTGGCTGCCCTGCCTAGAGACGGGGAGAGACAGCTCAGCTCATTCCTAACTGTGGTCCTGGCATAGCTGCAGGGGTTGCCTGCCCCTCTCTCCCCAGATAAGGTAAACTAGCTGGATTCAAAAGCGGCTTTGCAGTTTGCTGTCCCTGTCACTCGTTCCCACCCCTCTTGGAAGTAGACTTGATTCCATAGTAATGGTGTCCTAGCCATGGCCTCTTGCCACCTCTCTGACTGCAACCTCCCATGTGTCTTGCTTACCTACCAGCTCACCAAGGCACCCACGCCAGTATAGACACCCACATGTACACCTGCTCCTTTCATCATAGCGCTCTCTGCTCACTGAGCGCCAGATACCGGCCTCCCCATCACAGTCCCGTGTACACCACACAGTCTGACACAGCGCAGGCTCGTGTGACAGGACGCAGCTGTGGCCCCAGGTATGGCCATCTGGTGCTCTGGGCCAAGGGAAAAAGGGATCCAGGAGGCTTCTGAGTGCGGTGGCTCGGGAGGCCTCTGGGCCCTTGGGTAGCCCAGCAGGTCATGGCTCCTTCTCTGGCTGGCCTGTCCTGGCCAGGATAACAGGAACTCTTCGGGGTAACTGCCCGTCCTGCGTGCTCGTCCCTCCGCCATTGAGCCGGCCTCGGGGAGCTTCTTGCGCCAGGTCCACCGGGACCCTGACTGAACTTTCTCCTTGTTTTTGTCTCCTGCCCCGCCAGAAGGTGATGCTTCCGACGGGAGCCGCCTTCCGGTGGTTTCAGTGACGGCCGGGAACCCAAAGCTGCCCTCTCCGTGCAATGTCACTGCTCGCGTGGTCTCCGGCAAGGGATTCGGGCGAAGACAAACGGATACACCCGTCTTTAGAACCAAAAATATTCTCTCACAGATTTCATTCCTGTTTTTATATATATATTTTTTTTTTGTTGTCATTTTAACATCTCCACGTCCCTAGTATAAAAAGAAAAAAATTTAACTGCTTTTTCAGAAGAAGAACAACAAAAGAGGTAAAGCGAATCTGCAAAGTACCGAGACTTCCTGGGCAAAGAATGGACAATCAGTCTCCTTCCTGTGTCCGTGTCAATGTTGTCTGTGCAGGAGATGCCGTTTTTGTGTAGAGAATGTAAATTTTCTGTAACCTTTTGCAATCTAGTTACTAATAAGCACTACTGTAATTTAGCACAGTTTAACTCCACTCTCGTTTTAAACTTCCTTTGATTCTTTCCAACCATGAAATAGTGCATAGTTTGCCTGGAGAATCCACTCACGTTTATAAAGACAGTGCTGATGGCACCGTGTAGAAGCCCCTCTGTATCCATCCACGTGTGCAGAGCTACAGCCAGAGCCTACTGGGACTGGAGTTCCTGTCCCAGGCCCAGCCTTGTTGCACCCACTGTCCCCTGGCTGGGACCCCCTACCCCAACAGTGACAGATTTTGGAGAGATGAGGATTCTATTCATTTGTTGATCCACTAAGATCTGGGGAGCCCGCATCTCAATCCTGGCTACTTCCCCTAGAGAAAACAAGCCCTCTTTTCTCAGCCTTGCTCTCAGCAACAGAAGAAAGGGCTTCTCCGCGGTCCCTCACCTACCTCCCGGTAGGGGTGGGTGCCCAGGGGACTCCCTACCCGTGGCCAGCTCCCTGCTGAGGAACATGCTGTTTGTATTGTTTTAGGAGACCAGGCTGTTTTGTGAATAAAATTGAATGCATGTTTGTGTCCTGATACACAGCTGACTTCTTGGGTTTTCGGAGGGCTGGCTTGGGGCTAGGGTTTGTGTGGGACTATCTTGAGAGAAGGGTACCCTGAGGATACTTAGAGTTGAGTCTCTTGGAAAAGAGAAGTCCTTTGGTGGGGTGTGGGGAGGGTGAGAGCCATCCTGGAAACAGCATGGAACCATGTTTATTTGGGAGTCTGGTGCATCCCAGGCCTTGGGACCTAGACCACTAGGGCTGTCACCCACTTGGGCCATACTGCTCCCCAGCTTTTCAGTGTCAGGCAGCCTGCGTTGTTGGGCAGGCTGTCTATCTGGGTCTTTTTGCATGGCAGCCACAAGTGAGTGTGAACTCACCCAGTTACTCACACATGGAGTAGTTTCTGGAATGTGACTGCCCTCTGTGTGCCCTGTCCTTGGACCCCTTCCATTCCAGCCTGAGTTCAAGAAGGGCATCATCTGCTCTTGCCTCCAGGTGGTCTAGAACCTCAGAAACCGGGTGTCTGGGGGAAATCATTGCAGGGCCCCACCGTCCAGGCAGAAAGAGGTGTCATTTGCATGCCCCTCCCCGTACTCCTGGAGGCTAACCTAAGGATGAGGCCTAGCCTACCGCTGGAGGAGTGCCCCCCCCCCCCACGCACACACACAGCTGCTGAGCCTGGCAGAGGTGGAAGCTAGACTTGAAGAAGGACTTCCTGACAAGGTTTCAGGTGGGTGAGGACTTTGAGAACAAAGGAAGGTGGGGTTTTCTGAAGCTGAGTGGGTGGTGAGGTGGGGGAGATGGGCTGTCCCTGCGATTGTTCCAGGAAGGGGAAAGCTGGGAGGAGGTATCCTGACCCCCAACCCCGTTCCCTGTGTCACAGGCTCCCTTGGAGCACCAGGGACTCAGCAGCCTGGCCTGGCACAGCAGGGGTAGGCAGGGGCGGGGGAGGTAGCTTTCAACTCCATCTCTGCCTGGGAAAATTCCCTTTCATGTGGCTGCCTGTGATCTCTCCAGGCGGCTCTGCCAAAGGGGGGTGTCCAGCAGGGAGTAGGGGGAGGTGTTGCAGCTGGGGGCACCCTCACTCCAGTACAAGGCAAACTGCAGCACCTCCAGAAACTTGGGGGAAGGGGGGTCTAAGAGGGCATGGGGGATGCTGACCAGCAGGGGGCACTGGGCTAGAGGCCTTTGCTGGCAGCATGCAGGCTGCAGATGGCCTAGGCCGGCCCTCTGGCACACCTCCAGGTGTGGGGTGGGTGGCTCCAGTGCCAGCCTTAATGGGAGGGGACTGTGACTCGGCTGGCCTGGACCCACCCCACAGTACAGAGGCACCCAAAGTTCAGAGACCCTCATGTCCAGTTTCTGCGTCTTAATGTACCCAAAGGGCAGCCACAGTGTCTCTGAAAGAAGATGGCTGTGGGGCCACATCTTGCCCTGGAAAGTTATTACTCCCAGAAAATGGCCTAAGGAGGAACGCCATCATGAAGGCAGGCCCGGTGCATAGTAAGCTCTGGTCGGTGGCTGTTCTCAGGGCTGAGGAAATGGGTTCCGTGCTAAGACTGTTCACTGCTCACGCAAAGCACTGGAGATTGGTTCCCAGCACGCAGCTCACAGCCACCTGTAACTCCCACTCTGGGGGAGCTGACAGCCTCTTCTGACCTCAGGCACCAGCATATGAGCACACATATGTACACATAAGAACAAACGTTTAGGTGCATACCTGTAACCTCAGCTGTGGGGAGGCTGAGACAGGAGGACAACCTGGACTACAGAGGCCCCGTGTCAAGAGCACTCTGCGTCCCAGCATTGAGGAGATGGAGTCGGGAGATAAGGAAAACCTTAGTTATGTGGTGAGTTTGAAGTTGGCCTCTGCCTCCTGGGTGCTGGAACTAGAGGTGTGCCTCACTACACTCAGCTTTTCTTCCCGAGGCAGAACCTGATGTAGCTCAAGAGGACTATAGAGTGGGTTCCAGGACAGCAGGACTATGTAGGGAGACCTTGTCTCAAAAGAAACTTGAGTGTGGGCTTTTCCCCAACTCATCAGCCCACTTTATTCTTGAGAATATCTTTCCATTAAACTTTAATTTAGTGTGTGGTTGTTTTGCCTGTATGTGGTCTTTGTGCTCCACATGGGTTCTTGGTACCTGCGGAGGTCAGATTCCAAGAGACTGGTGCCACAGGCAACTGTAAGCCACTGTATAGATGCTAGAGCCTGAACTCTGGTCCTCTAGAAGAGCAGTCAGTACTTGTAACTGCTAAGCCATCTTCCCAGCCCCCAAAACTGTATTTCTTTAAAATAAATCATTCACTAGACCTCCCAAAAAAAAGCCCTTTTGGCTGGACCTGACCTTGACATTATCCCTAAGGCCGAGTCCTGACACACAGCCCACATGCAGTCCGGCCGCTGCTCACCAGCCAGCTAAGTCTTCCTGCTTTCTGGCCATAAGGTTGTAGGGTCTCCAACTCCTGTGACCTAGCCTTCGCACACCTGTGGGTCTCCTTGTCACCTTTATCCCCGTCTTGCACCTCTCCTGCTGACAATGGACCCTGGGGTGGGGGGTGGAGGTAGCCCTTTCCCTGCCAGGACAGTAAATAAGGCCTTGTGGTGATTTAGGAGCCTTGACCCAGCATCCTGTAGCCCTCCTGGGGGTCCAGCATTCAGAACCAGCTTTGAGGGTTGCAAGGTATGAGAGGCTGGACACACTGTTGGAGTCAAGTCCAGCGTGTGTGAGTGTGTGTGTGTGTCTCACACTGCTAGAGACAAGAAGAGCAACACCGGGACCCTGTGTGTGTGTGAGATAGAGATGGACGGTGGGGGCTGGGGCTCTTAAGGCCCAGCAAAACCTTGTGAGGTCATGTCCTGGAATATGACTACTTGTACCATTGAGTGTGACATCAAAGTGGGTTTGAAACGATGTGGAAGACATCTAAGACCTCATGTGGCCATGGGTTCATAAATGAATGATGTCATTGGGACATTCAGTGATGTTTGTGTGGTCCTGTGACCTTGTACAGTCTGGTAGCAAACCCAGTGTGACATCAAGTTGTACAACTGAGTGTGTAACATTGGGCAATACTTAGTTTATGGTATTGAATATACAACTACATTGACCCCGGGACAAAACTTCATAATACTAAGTGTCCATGACTGTCATCGATGTGGCCCTGAGACACCAGAGAGTATTTGTGATGTAAGTAGTGACCATGCTGGGTCCCTGCATATTGCCTGCACAATGCTGGGGGGGGGCCCACCCGACAGCTGTGCAGTTCTAGGGAGAGCACAGGGTTCTGGGGCATCTCATTCCCAGCATGGGTCCAGAGGCTCAGGCTGCATCGGGTGTTGGCATGGGACAGCAGAGGCTTTTCCCACAGTTGAAATGCCCCTCTCCCAGACCTTCCACTGCTGGCTTCAGCTCCACAGAATACCCTGGCAACTCTGACTCCTTTGTTCTCTGTGGCCGCCAAAGGCCTCCCACTTCAACCCCATACTGTCCAGCGCCTGCCAGGCAAGCGACCCTTCCCCCATGGCGCAGCCAGGCTTACCCACGGAAACCACCACACACACACACACACACACACACACACACACACACACACACACACACACTCCATGTCTCTGTCCCATGCTCCAGGTCTAACACAGGACTCCAGTCTGTGAGCCTGCTTGTGTGCAGGAAGAAGGAAACAGCAGTTCATGGGGCTGTACTGGGTGATTGCAGGCCAACACCTGGGCTCTGGAAGGGTACAACTTCCCCTTGGCACATGGCCAAGTTGGAAGCTCAGCCTTCAGTCCAGACTGGTTTCCGTTTGAGTTGGTTTTGGTTTGGCTCAGGTCAACCGTCAGGACTGGGATTATGACCCGCTTTGTAGATAAGGAGCGTGCATGACTCACCAAAAGCAAGATGCCGATTAGTACCCAGGCTCCTTACTCCCTTGGGAAGAGGACCAGCTGCCTCCAACAGAGTTGGGAGGGGGCCTGGGACTCTGGACATATGGGTTCCTCCCCATGTACTGGTCATGGTGTGTCAGGCACCATTGTGTATGTGTTTCTCCTTGTTGGATGACCTTGGCCAAGTACCCTTGCCTCTGTTCTGGAAAGAAGGGCAACACAGGGCGTGTAGAGTAGGGACTTGACAAGGTGCATTGCAGAGCAACAAGGTCACCTCACAGTTAGTGCCAAGATCCACAGCAAGGACATGACACCGGTGACTCTGGGTCAGATTTAGGCATGGAGCCTCCACTCCCAGCCCAGCCTAGCTCACACTACTAAGAAGAAGGTCGTGATATCCACGTGGCTCAGCCTATCAAGGCCTTTTGGGTCTGACCTGATTGCACTGCCAGCTCCCACTCCCTCCCAGGTGCCAGAGATACACAGATGGAGGTCATTTGCACAGCCCTCCCTGTCCCGTAGTCACCCCACCCCACCCCTGCCCTCACCGGGCTGCTGCTGTGACAAGTAAAACTGGAATGAACAGGCCACAGTAAAAGAGATCCCAACCCAGGGCTGGAGAAATGGCTCAGTGGTTAAGAGCACTAACTGCTCTTCCATAGGACCGGGGTTCAGTTCCCTGTACCCACATGGCAGCTCAACAACTGTCTGTAAGTCCGGTTTCACTCTCACACAGACAGACATACAGACAAAACACCAATGCACGTAAAATTTAAAAAGAGATCCCAATCCCCTGCAGATGGGAATTGGGCCTTGTTGTCCCCATGTCTATAGCTCTGCAGTGTGCCCTGCTCCTCAGTGCCACATCTGCCGTGAGGTCTCTGCTTGCTGGGAAGGGTGGGAGGGTCTTCTGAGACTGCTGGCCAGGCTGCGGAGCAGACACTCATTTCTCTGCCTGCCACCTCCCATCTCCCAACAGCAATACAATTCCCCTCTTCCAGAGAACAAGGGCAGGCTTCAGAGGCAGCAGGGGGTATGAAGAGGAGGTGGACCAGGTCCTTTGGGGCTGAAGATTTGGGTATTGGAGGATTTGAGCTGCTAAGGGTGATCACTAACCACTAACCCTGCCTCAAACGCCAGGC